GAGAACGTAGTTTCTGTCAGATTAGCCAAGAGTATCCACAAGCTACCTCCGGTTACCTATGCTGACAGCTGCACATTGGACCATTACGAGAGCGACGTGAATCCAGGGTTCCAAGACTACGAAGCAGAAGGTGCTGGCCTGAATATACACGACATAACTGGGTCAGCACATCCACGAATCACCCTGTGCCTGTAGTCCACTAAACTTCAGGCAGGCTTCGATCAGGACATGTCAAAGTTTGAAGAATTGGCTGATGCGCCAACACCTGAAGGAGCCACAAAAGAGGCCTCATGAACCGAACCAGAACATGATGACGGACGGCGTTTTACGATTTACAAGGAACCAGAAGCTGATCTTGAGTCACATGTTATGGAGGTGTGGTACGCAGAATTGCAAGAGGACGGGGAATTGTTGGAGGCAGCTCCACTAGAGGACCTCTTTGCCGTACCCACACAGATGCTTCCTGATCAGAGTGCGCTGATCACTGTAGCTGATGAACAACGGGGGCATCTGCCGAAGTGGGGACGCACTCGCGATCCCGATGCCGAGGGGACGTACTACGCCCCCCTTTGCACCATGGTCGAAGACGACAGCTACGGACTCGACTCTGACGAGAACGGTCGATACGTTGAATTGTATTTTACGACAGAAATGTCAAAGGTAGTCTTGTCCGAGCAGCAACACATGTTATTACATGACGACCGGGTGACCACTATGCGAGTATATGTTACCGCCGTTGCAAAGCGAGCTGCGGTCGTCAAGGAAGACAACTTCCTCGCCAGAGCTGGCATTTAGGCGAATCCCGAGAAAATTTCGCTGACACATTTCACTGAGCTCAAGACCTGGTTCGACAACGGATACTTTAAGATGCAGGAGATAGCCGCAGCGTCGAACATCATGACTTCGAGGTACGTATACAAATTGACATTCGTGAAGAACGAAAAGGGCGAGATGGAACGTATCATCGGACTTCGCTTGGTACCCCGAGGCTTCGTGGACCTTGAAGCTTTCGACGTAGAAACAGTTTCGGGAACGGCAAGAAGGTCGAGCCAGAGGTTACTCGCCAGCACGACAGCGCGCAAGAAGCAGTGGATCATTGCTTCCCTCGACATCAACATGGCCTTCCTGAAGGGGCTGACCTATCGGGAAATCGCTGAGGCAACTGGTGAAAAGGAACGTGTGGTGTGCTTTACTTTGCCGCCTGGATCGGCCACTGTGCTCCGTTGTCTCCCAGTATTCGAGAACTACGGCGAGTCAAAGCACTGCCTGCAGTGCTTGAAACTTGGCACAGGCACTAAGGGCGCTCCACGGGCTGTCTCACTTAAGCTCAGAAGAAACACCAGAGGGTTTGGCCTCCGACCCACGTCTTACCACGATGAGTTCGAGACGAGCAATACTTAGCTCACGGCCAAGCATGTTGATGCTATAAATATGGCCGGCACTGAGGACACCATTGGCAAATGTGTCAAATGCGTTGGGGATACATTCGGTAAGTGTAAATTCAACAAGCACACGTATACTAATTGTGTTCGTCAGTCTCAGGGGTGCGCTGGCACGCGCACTGATCACCCAGGTGCGGTTAATGGTGCATGTTGTATCTCTACAGCGTGTCCAAGAATTGACCAACATGCAAGTGCGACGACTGAATGCGACCGCCCGAGAGTTACAGGCCTGCCCGAGAAAGATCGTCGATCAGGCGATGAAACCCACGGGCGAGGTCGACTTACGTAGCGACTCAGGCTACCGACGCCTGAGTGGAGACGCCGACGACGACGTCAAAGGCCATGGTATTCGCGGGACAAACCTGCTACGACGTGGAATCACGTCATCTGGTAAGCCTGTCGTTCACTTGATCGACGCGCGCTGCAAGTCTCACCGCTTGCAGGTCCGCTCGAGCTATTCAGCAGAGACACTGGCAGCAACTCGTAATTTGGAGGCCTGTTACCCCACGATTGTGACTCAGCACGATCTTCACGCAGGGGCCGCTCACGCCCACTCAACTGACAGATATACTCGAGTTGGGTGGCCTGAGCATCAAGGTCACTTTGACCATCGATGCTAAGTCTGTTTCAAGTCCTTGTCAAGCAAAGACTTGAAGAAGCCGACTGAGTGTACCCTTCTAGGACACATCAGTTGAATACTTCAGGTGATGGAGCGTGGAATCGTGCAGAGCATTCAGTGGTGTGGTACCCGTGACACGACTGCGGATGGCCACGCCAAGGGGAGCATCGACCGATAAATGCTCCTGCAAGTCATGGGAGGTATACGGACCTTCAAACATGACCTGAAGAGACATACTCTATATCGGGCCGGCCAGACATCAAGTTCTGACGCCGCCTGATGAGTATGTCATTCAATTGCGAAGTAATTTGCTGGCGGGTCCACCTTTCTTTTGGGCTCGTCTCCTTTCGTGTCCTTGTGCATGTTAGCTGCTGAACTGTGCCTGCTATATAGGGGCGTCGGGCCCACGTTTCGTCTCTCTCCCCCCCCGAGTCTAAAGCGAGCTGGGGGGCGTAAGGAGTGGAAGCGAGAGCGCGCCCGCGGCCGCGTTGGCTCAAGCGGCCGGCCGCCCAGCTATGAACGTGCCTCACCGCGAGGCACACAATCGATATCGAGATCAAAAGGATCTTCCTATTGCTTGAGATAGCATCTCCTATTCTACTGGGACTATCGTTGCTGGGCCAATGTTTCGCGCTGGCGGCGTTTGGGAATGCTTAGGAATGACCAAGGACGGGTAGCAGCAGCATGTCGGATGCGCTCTGCGCCACAGCGCTTGTGTACACCACAGTGCTTGCGTGCACCACAGCGCCTGTGTACACCACAGCGCCCATGCACACCACAGCAGCCGCGTGCAACACATCGCCAGTGTGTGCCACAGTGAATGCGGGCACCACAGCGCTTGTGTGCATCATAGCGCCAGCCTGCGTACACCACACCCGCCGTGCGCAACACAGCAACAGTGTACACCACAATGCCTGCGTGCAGTACAGCGCCTGTGTACACCACGTCGCCTATGTTCACCATAGCAACCGTGTGCAACAAGGCACCACTGTTTCATATATAATGTTAGAAGCAATCCTTATGATACAATGAACCGCCTGTGGAGTCCGCAGCAAACAACAGGTTTATATAGGATCCAGAAGGGAATCTTATAGAAAAGGAACGCCGCTTGAGTTTACGATTCCTCCAGAGTCTTCCCGCATCATCCTAACTCCTCCCACCTGCGTCCATGAGGCTCCAACAAACGTGGCCGTCCGAGACGCGGCGCACGCTGAGATGCGCACGTGCGCTGTAGCACCGACCCGCACGACACGGGGAAAGGGTGAGTGAGGAAGAAGAGGAGGTGGAAGAGGGGGTGGCGGAGGAGGGAGGAGGGAAAAACGTCGCATTCCATTATCAGTAATTCGCTGGCGTGGCGTCTACCTCTCCGCAGCAGATCCTCACCTACTACATGCTCCTTCTACCTGTCTGGTGCACGCAGGCGTTTTGGTTTACACCAGCGCTGCGTTGCATGCGGATGCTGTGGTGCAGACAGGCGTTGTGGTGTGCGCAGGCGCTGCAGTGCACGCAAGCATTGTGGTGTGAGCAGGCGCTGCAGTGCACATGGTTGCTGCGGCGTACACATTCGCTGTGGTGCGCACAGGCGCTGCAGTGCACGCAAGCATTGTGGTGTACACAGGCGTTGCGGTGCACATGGTTGCTGCGGTGTACACATTCGCTGTGGTGTACACCGGCGCTGTGATGCACGCGAGCATTAGTGTACACAGGCGCTGTGGGGCGGATCGCCACCTACATGCTGCTCGCGTCGTCGTCGTCGCTCGTCGCTCGTCGCTCGTCGCTCGTCGCTCATCGTCGTCGTGCGCGCGGTCGCGGCTGAGGTGCCGGAGCCACACGGCGGGGGAGCAGTTACGTCTTACCCCCCCCCGTCCCAACTCCCATGACGCCCGTCATCGCTGAAAATATAGAAACGCTCTCTTTCGGGGGCGCGAAGAACGCACAATTTACTAGGGATCGTGGGATCGAGGACGCAGGAAGTATGGCGTTGGGCGGGAACATCGCGTAATTTGCGAGAGTTGATGGCCTCGGGTAATTTGTGAAGGTTTCTGGCTTCGGGGACGCGAATGTTGCGCATGTTGCGAACATAATGGCCTGGTGGACGCGAGTATTATAATGTATGAAGGTTTATGGCCTCGGGGACGCGAATATTGAGTAATTTACTAGAGATGATGGCGAAGGTGACGCGAATATCATGAAATCTACAAGGGTTCGCGGCCTCGGGGACGCGAACATTGGGTAATTGATTGCAGATGTTGGCTTCGGGGACGCGATGATAGCGTAATTCGAGAATGTGCGAATTTCGCGCATGTTAGTAAGGTTTATGGCTTCGGGGCGCGGTTCTCGTGTATTTCTACATTTCCCGCGCCCCCCCGGGGAGGGACACTAACTAGGCTGCTTTTCTGTTCCCCTTTTTCGCGCGGACTTCAACGATTTACAATAGAATGTAGAACGTAGAGCTATCACAACGCACACTGGAAACTTGAAGTGGAGCAGGGAGCAGCAAGCCTAACCTCGCAGCGTGATGGCTTCGCAAGGGGGCCGGCGGACTAATGGGTCCCAGGATTTTTTGTTTGGGGCAGTTCGGAGGCTGCGAGAAAGAACACGCGCTAAGCGTGAGTTCGCTACGGTACGCCCTCTGTGCATCTTAGGTGGCACAGGCCAGGCAAAGACACGAACACCGTCTGAAATATGTGGGACGCCTGGCCTGCGCATAATGTGTGTTCTCACCAGGCTGTGCATCATATTGTCTGTTGGCTGCTCCAGAGAATCTTGGTGGTAGTGTGAGCTCAGTCTCTGAATCGTCGTCGTTTTGGAACGACCTTTGTGTGCTGGAGCGTTCTCCGTTCTGCCTCCTCCTCCCCCGTCTCCAGCATGGGCTCCAGAAACACGACGCCGTCTCTCGGCTGTGCAAAGCAATCGGCCAATCCAAGATCAACGACACGATGGGCCACCTGGGATGGGCGAAGAGGGGCATGCCTCGCGGCAAGGCCGATGCTCGTCTGTGTCATGCCGCGTGGGAAGGATGTTGGAATACGAGGATAGTATCCAGCATTGGGGTTGCGAAGTCGCTTGTTTGCATTAGACGCGATGGTTCGTGTTCAATTACGCAGCAGCCTTACAGTCTACGTTTTTCTTGTTGTCATCATCGTCCCTCGATGTTTCGGTGACACTGCCCCAGTTTGAGGTTCTCACGCCAGACGAATCGGAGGAGTCATAGAGCACCTGTTGTTGAACTTGAACTTTTTTGACGAGATGGAGGTGGCAAAGGTGGAGGAGGGAGACATGGACGAGGTGGACGAGGAGGAGGAGGAGGAGGAGGAGGAGGAGAATGAGGACAAATAGTGCTAGGAGTGGGATGGGGCAGTAGTGGGACGAAGATGAGGAATCGGTGGAGGAGGAGATGGAGGGGAATGGAACATTTTGTTGGGAGGAGCGTTTAGAGGGGGAGGGGACGGAGTAGGATGAACAGCACGGTGATCGGGAGGGGGGCGATTCGAGGATGGGGCCAAGAAGCAGACGGGATTTGGGGCGAGGCAAGAAGGGATGATGAGGACCAAAGACGGAGATGGAGACTGATCGGGAAGAAGAGTGCCAGGAGAAACAAGAACACACAGACACGAATCATCGTCGGCTCCCTTGGAAATAAAGAAAAACTTGGAAGCGGAGGAAAGTCGAACGTCCAGAACGTATAGAAAATATAAGTAACCCTGGGATCTGGATCTATTTATTTTTGTGTCCCTGGGCCTCTTGAGAGTAGCATGTGGAGGAACAAAAAGCACAGTACGGAGGAGCGACCCGGCGACGCCCAGTTCTGCCAGAGACGCCCATAACCGCAGTTCCCACTCCCTCCTGCCTTGGTATGCGCCGAGGGGAGCAACGTTCCTCTGCAGCTTTAGGTAGGGGAACGAATAATGACATAAACATAACGAATCGGAGGTTCGCGCGGATTTCTCGGACCGGCGCTGGGGCCCGCCGGTAGCGCCTCCGGCGCCGCCCCTGGCGCGCTCCGCGCGCCAGGAATAAGGGGTCCAGCGGCGATCCGACAAATCTCTGCGGATATCCAAGTTGTCATGCTTCTGTCGTTGTTTGTTCCCCTGTTTGGCCTTGCACATTGGCTCTCTGGCGCTCCTCCCTCATATTTGCTCGTCCTCCCCGGGTCAGCATGGAGGAAGGGGGCTCCTCTGAAAGACTAGTCCTGGCCTTTGACGTGCCTGCGGGCTCACAGGCCCCTCCCTGTGGCCTTGTGTACAGCGTCGGGGGCAGAGCTGGCTCGTCTCCGCCCGGGAGATGAGGGGAGCGAGAGGAGAGAGAGAGAGAGAGAGAGAGACACGACAACGACGCCCTCGACGACGATGGCTACGTCAACAATGTCGATTACTCGGGCGATAAGAACTATGCCCATGAGCGATCTTGGCCAAGCCATGAGGGCGTGTGCACCAATCCTGGGCCAAGGATGACCCTGGCGACGATCGTTAAATGTGCATCGTGCTCTTCCTTTTTCTAACGGCGGCGCGGACGACGACGACTCCGACGCTGACCTCGAAGAAGCAAGCTGCATACAAAGTATTAACATAATCTTTCGGAGATCCGCTCGGATTTCCTGGATCGGCGCTGGACCCCCCTCACTGGCGCGCGGGAGTGCACCAGGGAAGGCGCAGGAGGCGCCGCCAACGGGGGTCTCCAGGCGCAGATCCAGGAAGTCCGCGCGGACCTCCGAAACCATGTGTTTATGCAGCTTTCGCTTCGTCTATGACCGACGGCGGTGCAGACCCCAACGACAACAGAGCTGGACGGCGAATGAATTGCAGCACCGCGAGCAATTGAGACATTTTTCGAGCCGGATCGATCTGTGAGGCTCTCGGTGCCCGAAACTTGTCAAAGTTTCCGGGCGTCAAAAGAATACACGCCCAGATCTCAGGGTTCCGCCTTGACTGGCGGCGGCGGCGCCGACGCCGACGCCGAAGACGACGGCGACGGCGGGCAGGCGGCGGCGACAAGTCACTCACCGGGGGTAGTTGTTCGCCCCTGATCCATTTTTGGTTTGTCCTGGGGCCTGCTAGCGGGCCCCAGAAACCCAGAAGGAGAAAGCCACATCCTCGCTCAGATGCGGCGGCGTTTCCGCGCCGCAGCCGCCCGCGTCAGAGGCCCGCGTGCCGTTCTACCATGTGACGCTGCGGCCAGGCGACGGGCTCGCGGTGCCCAGCGCCCGCCCCAGCGGGGTGGTGCCCCCGCGGCCGCGCTTCTTCGCTCAGCGCCCCGCCGGGCAGGCCACGGGCCGCCGACGGCCGCCGATGGCAGGCCCGCGCGGAGGCCTGGGCGAAGGCCCGCGCGGAAGGCCGCAGGCCAGACCGCGCGAAGGCCGCCCGAAGGTTGGCGGAGCTCCCCGTGCCAGGGGAGCCGGAGCGTAGCTGCAGCAGGGGTGGGAGACGCCCAACGTTGGATTGCCCGCGAGGCTGGCCCCCAAGGGCAGGCGCCGGTCGGCTCGGGCTGGCCGCGTCGCGGCGCCCGCCGCCGGCGGGGTCCCCTCCGCCCGCCGAGGGCGGCGCCCTTGAGTCAGGGAACCGTCGCCGATGCATCGCCAATGCATCGGCGATGCATCGGGGATGCGGTGGGATCCTCCGGCCCCACTTAAGACCTCGGATCCAACTTGGGAGGCCGAAGTGAGAGATGGGAGAAGTCCACAGTGTTCGCCGGATTGAGGTAGGAGCTGATGTGCTTGCGCAAGGTAAGGGTTCTGCTCTTCGAGTTGTCGCGATGGGGCCGTCGACTCCGTGCAGGGTGGCGTTTCGGGATCGTGCCCCCCGTCATCCTTCCTGTCCTCCTGACTGTCACCAGCACATCTTCCCGCCGCATCTTGCTCTTGTTCCCCACTCACTCCCTCCTCCACAGTGATCTCCCTCCTGTGCGATCCTCGCCCGAGCACGCCTGACAGGCAGCCGTCACTCTGGCTGGCCCCGCCCTTTTAGGCTCGCATTGACAGGTTGCCCGAGGGCTGCGTCGAGCAAAGCGTGCCTTTAGTGTCGCTTTTGGATGTGACTCCTATCCAACGTATCCCTGGCCTCTCGGGCCAGACCCTTGGGCCCTGACCCCGCAGGTACGGAGCGCTTTTGTTGTTGATACTCTTCGCAGAACATAACTACCCGTGCGACCTCGTGTCTATGGGGTCGCGCCCCAGAATCCAGACCCAGACCGCGAGGGTAAGGATATGGATATGTTCGCCGCTCGCCCTGAAGTACCAGTATTCATGTCTCGTAGTTTCACCCTTGTTCGTTCGAGGACGTCCACTGACCACGAGTTACCGATATGCTGCCTGGCGCACAGCAGAACCGCCTGAAGAGTACGATAGTTTCAACATTTTGCCAATGCACCTCTGATGTGCACGGCTTCCGAAGGACCAATTTGGGCTCAGGAGGGGCTCTGGTTTTGGGACCGTTGTTCGTCATGAGAGCCACTGCCATGGCAGCGCGGGAAGCAGCCCATTCGAAATAGCTAGGGGTGTCGCTCTGAGGGGCTCGATACATACACCACGTTGTTTGGTCGGCCAAGTGGCCAAGGACGTCTGCGAATGCATTTGGTCTACACAGGCCCCATCGTCCTACAGGTTGGGAAGCTGGGGCGTCCATACACCGAGTTCGATGGGCGACCAGACTTTCAGCATACCTCCACTCCCAAGTCGCGCTGAGGCACTAGCATCCACAAGGCCGCCGCGCGCGCTCCTTTCTGCACAGGCGGCCGCAGTGGGGAGGGCAGCGGAGAGAGGCGACGGCAGAGCTGAAGGTAACGAACCGCGACGTTGCACAGTTAAATTTGCACGTTCGGAGCTCCGCGTGAATTTCTAGGATCGGCGTTCGAGCCCCGAGGCGACGCCTCCATTGCGCGCTCTGCGTTAGGGAGGGGGGCTCAGCGCACTCCAGCAAATCCACGCGGACCTTCGCCAGTTTACTGCGTTCATGCCGTGCTTTCTTATGAAAAAAAGGTAGCGCTTGGCGGGGAGGGGGGCCGCCTACCAATTGATTCTAGTTGGTGGGATTATGTTCCCTTGTTCTGTCCCGCTGCTCCCTCCCCCTTCTCAGGGGAGCCTCGCGGGAAGTTCTGACGGCTTAACGGGCCCGCTTTCTCAAGGGGCTTTCTTGGCGTTTTGGTGGGCTCTGGGACCACTGTGAGGCCGCCTTCGGGACCTCTGGGCGTTTCTGATGCCACCGTGGGCTGAGCAGCATGGGACGCAATTCGTGCACATAGAGATTTGCAGTTTTGTCGTTAATGCTGTTGAATGTCACCAACAGCACAAACTTTCATTTTAAGACCTTTGGCTCTTAACTGCCCGAGGGCTATTCAACACGTATCTCCCGAACCCTGGATACGTGCCCTCTTCGTTTTCGATTGTGCTTCCTTGGGAGTGTCTTTGGACCTGCAGCGCGTATTTCTTGCAGCCCCTGAGGGAGGGGCAGAGACAACGGATGGAAGGAAAGGACAAGGGGGGAGGGATGAGGATGGAACACGACAGCGCGAGAGATGGGTAGGAGGGGGCGGCTACGGGCAGCAAACACGTTGCAAAACCAGACGGGTAGATCGGGCGAGTAGACCCTAACGGGTCGGGCCGGGAAGGCGGGCCCAGGCGGCCAGGTCGAGCAGGCGGGTTGCTGAAGTTTGCGTTCTGCATAAACCGCGAAGTCTTGAGCGATAGCGCGATTCCCACGCAGATCGTAAGAAAGGCCAGAGCGAGAGCGTGAGGTCTGAGTGTCGAGGGCGGGGCATTTGAATACATTGCGAAGAAGGCCCACGCGAGAGCGCGATTCCTGTAGACATTAAGGAAGTCCCGCGAGAGAGCGCGTTTTTGAAGGTGAGGAAGCACCCCGCGGGAGCCGTTGTTGTTGTTGTTGTTGTTGTTGTTGTTGTTGTTGTTGTTGTTGTTGGTGTTGGTGTTGGTGTTGGTGTTGGTGTTGGTGTTGGTGTTGGTGTTGGTGTTGGTGTTGGTGTTGGTGTTGGTGTTGTTGTTGGCGTTGGTGTTGGTGTTGTTGTTGTTGCTGCTGCTGCTGCTGCTTCTGGTGCTGGTGTTGTTGTTGTTATTGCTGCTGCTGTTGTTGCTGTTGTTGTGGGAGTTGTTGTTGTTGCTGATGTAGCTGTTGTTGTTGATGTTGGCGTTGGTGTTGCTGTTGCTGTTGTTATCGTTGTTACTGTTGTTGTTGCTGCTGTTACTGTTGCTGTTGTTGTTGATGTTGTCGTTGTTGTTATTGTCGTTGTTATTGTTGTTGTTGCTGCTGTAAACCGGGGGCCGACAAACCCAACTGGTGAAAACCAGTGTGCGAGCCCCGGGAGGGGCCCCTCGATTGGAAAAATCAAGTGGTCATTGGAAGGGGGGTCGACCATATTTTCCTGTACGACCACCCTTCGGGTGATAAGGAGGTTCGGGGGGGGGGGGGAAGAACCAACGTCACACTCAATTGAACTCACCGTCAATCTTAATATCGATTCCGCTATCAATCTCACCATCGATTCCAATTGCCATCGATATCGCTATCGATCTCGCTTTCGACCTCATTGTCGATCTCACTGATCTCACTGTTGATCCTACGGTCGATCCCATGGTCGATATCATTATCGGTATCACGATCGATTTCAGTATCGATAGCCCGATTGGTTTCATTACGGGACACCGGCGGGACACAGACGGGACACCGACGGGACGCAGCCCGCCCACCGGGGGAAGTTCGGAACATTGTCTTGCCCCGTCCTAGCAGCAGCGGGTTCATTTCCCCTCGTCCGCCCACGCAGCTTGACCTCGCCCGCACGCACGACACGAACTTGAAACCGACACCGATTTCTTGGTAGGGGCTTCCCTTTCCACTTCGATATCACCCCCAACCTCCGGCTCTTCAGACATTCGAATTCAAAAACAAGAACACCATTACCAACAACAACAATCAGTTTTCAGACTGATCGCTTGTACCTGCTTGCGTGCCATTCAGCACATCTATCCCAAACCTTTGATCGCCGCCTCATTCGTCGTCGATCGTATCCCTGTGGGGGTTCTCATAGGTTTTTTTCACATTGTTACTCTAAACGAGTTGCGAGCGACAAAAATCATGATGTCCGCCAGGGCCCCCGTCGGAAGAGCGGAGATGCGAGCGCAGTGGCCCGCGCGGTCGCGCGCGACACGCCGGTGGTAATAACGTGAACGCGTGGGCGTCGCGACGATGGCGGCGACGACGACGGCGGCGCCTGCGCCGACGGCGGCGACGACGGCGGCAACGGCGACGGCGGCGACGACGAACATCGCGGCGACGGCGGCGACGGGGCCCGGGCCCACGGGCGAACTTGCGCCCCGCCCTCGCTCCTGGAGTCCGGGGCCGGATTGTATGGGAGGGCGAAAATTACGCGCGCAATTTACCCCAGCCGCTGCCCCGCTTTACGAAAGCTTTCTTTTCGCTTTGATACAGCGTCGTTTTTTTCTTGGAAGGTAACGAGCGTTGCGCCTTTATTAAAACCGCTTCCTCGCTTTAGTAAAGCCGTGTCGTCGTTTTAGTAAAGTCGCTCCTTCGCTTTACTAAAGCCGTTTCCGCTCTTCAGTAATTGCCGCGGTCTGCCTTAATAGTATGGTTCGGGATTGCGGTGGTGATGCGGGGCTAGGGCCCTTGTCGGTTGGGGCGGGGAGCCCCTGTTTTTCTTGCCAGTTCACCCCGCGATGCATTTGCTCGAGTAATCAGGGTCGCGTTGCATCATCGGGTCGCGGCGATCCCTCGGACGTGTTTATAGCGAGTTGAATATGCTCCTTGACAGAAGACTCAGGGCGCGAGCGCAGGACGTGGCTCGGCAATTCGGACGCGCCGCCGCGGTTGTCGCGCAACAAAGCACAAACACGTTACGAAAAGGCTCGTTTCCTGTAGCAAATAGCTCCTTCAAAGTAATCGTGTGAATTTCCCCTCCCAATTTTCCTTACCTGCCATGCGCACTTGGTGCAGCCTTTCGAACAAGGGAAGAAAGGACGGATGGAAGGGGAAGGGAAAAGGATTGAGCACGAAAGAGATCAGCAGGAGGGGTTAGCAGCAGCAAACACTTGGCAGACGTAGACTGGCTGAGTGGGCGGGCCAGGGAACCGGACCCACGCGGCAAGGTCGAGCAGGCGGGTTGCTGAAGCGTGGGTATTGCATGAATCGCGAAGAAGTCTAGAGCGATAGTGCGATGTCCAAGTAAATCGCGAGGAAGAGCGTGATTCTTGAGT